AAGCGTGGCCGCATAATCCCTGTAGGCCACGATACGATGGTAACAAAGAAATATGGCCAGGTAATCGTTGCCCGTAATATAGAGGGAAGGTAGGGGCCAGGCCAAAACACTAGACCCAATATGGCCATCCCCCGTGCACACAGTAGACTGCCTCTCGTGTTCTAGTGTACCACTGTCTTCCACCAGTTTCGCTTTCCTTGGTGCCAGTATGATAGGAACACCCCATTTTCTCCAGCAGGTAAAATCTGGGATGGCCCAGGGGGCTAGCCTGATATCAGATCTTGGAAGCTAAGTAGGGTCAGCCCCGGTTAGTACTTGAAGAGGAAGAAGAGAGTGAATTTATTCCCCGCCTTTCACTCGGGAGTCTCAGAGTGGCTGACAAACTCCTTTCCCTTCCCCTCCCCTGCTACGCAGAGGCAGGCAACGGCCAGCCCGTTTCGGTCGCTCTCTTGTCTTGACCTGGATGGCCCAGGCTAGCCTGATCCCATCAGATTTCAAATGCTAAGCAGGGTCAGGCCTGGTTCGTACTTGGATGGGAGACCCCCAAGGAAGTCCAGGTTGCTACGCAGAGGCAGGCCGTGGCCAACCACCTCTGCTTGTCTCTTGCCTTGAACACCCTAGGGGGGGTCGCCGTAAGTCAACTGTGACTTGATCCCATTTGCTGCCACCCAATAAACGGGAAAAAAATCAACTGTCCTCTAAAATATTTGGATGCCAATTTGACCCTCCCGACTCCGGCCACAGGACGGGATTCAGCCACGTACAGCAAGAACGGGGCCAGAAAACCTGCTTCCCCCGCGAGACTTGGAGAAAGAGTTGCTCACCTAACAGTCCGCGCACTGAAGCAGACAGCCCTGCGCCGTTCACCACGTAGAAGCCCAGGTGGTCCAGCTGCAGGGCGGTGGGGTGGTGGTAGTGGTGGAGCAGGACGAGGAACTCCACCCCCTGCCCGATCCGGAGGGTGACGTTGGCCTCGGGCCACACGGAGATCGCCAGCGGCGTCCTCTGGACAACGGCCCTCTGGGAGAACGGCAACACCAGCGTATCTTCCCCGTGCAGCATCACCCCCTCCCGCGTCACGTTCACCACGTAGGTTCCCCGCGGATGGTCCACCACCACGCTGACGGCATCGAGGTAGGTGCGGGGACGTTCTTCATGCCCCGGCCTTAACGGAGCGCCCATTAAGTGGCCGTCGACCTCCAGCCCTGGGAGGGAGACCCAAGAGGGCATCAGCCCGCAGGGGAAAAGCAATCGTCCCTCTTCCCTTGCTTCTCACCTGCGGAACAGGTGTAGAAACGGCGTCGGCTCAACCACACCTGCTCGGCTCTAACCTGCTGCAGTGCATCGTGTCCCCCCTCCCGGCCCAAGACTCTCTCTGCAGGTAATCAGGGCAGGGTTGCCAAGTGTCCGAAACGTTGTTTTCTTGCCTAGCTGCCCAAATAGGAGGGGAACTGAGTGCTGTTGGTTTCTTGTCCCCCCCGTCTGCACCTCAGTTTCCTTCCAGTTGCTTCTTGTCAAAGAGGCAAGGGAGAGCTGCTGGGTTTTACAGAAGAAAAGAGCAAGAGTCCAGTAGCACCTTACTGACGGACAAGATTTCCTTTTGCTACAGACAGACTAACATGGCCCACCCATCTCCGTCTGGGTTTGCAGAGTCATTTTTAACCGATAACCGATTACCTTTGCAAAGGAAAGGCGCTCTGCACGTGCTTAGGAGTACCTGTCCGGTCTCCCCTTAAAAAAAACACACCTTGCATGGAATACGCACTCTGTGCATGCACACAGGGAGCTGGCCCGAGATGCCAGAATTCGTGGAAACAAAGCTTTTAGGATGCCTGGGGTGTCCCCTCTAAGCTGAGTTCGTGTGAGCTAGCTCACCGTTCTTTAGCCTCTGGCTCACACCTTTTTGTCTGAGCTCAGGAAGGAGGGCCCCAGAGCAAACTCATTTGTGCAGGAGCCAAATCGCTCGCTCACCACTTTAATGCCAGCAGCTCACAAAGTAGGATTTTTGCTATCAAGACTCCACAGCTTAGACCAGTGGTGGTGAACCTATGGCACGGGTGCCAGAGGCGGCACTCAGAGCCCTCTCTGTGGCCACGCGTGCCATCGCCCCAGCCGGGCCCAGACCATCATTAAAGTGTCGAATTCTCTGCCAAATAATTTTAAGTAAATGAAAGCATTTGGGATTGCTTTCCTTACTTTGTTTGGATCATCTTAAGTTAATGTATGAGTTGTTTTTTCTAAAGTAAAACCTCAGTATTCAGGTTAGATTGCCGTGTTGGCACTTTGCGATCAATAAGTGGGTTTGGGGTCGCAGTTTGGGCACTCGGTCTCTAAAAGGTTCGCCATCACTGGCTTAGAGGGAGCACTGCTTGGGATGGCTTCGATTAGGTGTAGGAAGGGATGCCGGCCTCCAGGTGGGACCCTGGGATCCCCCGGAATTCCAGCTCATCTCCAGCCTACGGAGATCTGTTTCCCAGGAGAAAAGGGCTGCTTGGGAGGGTGGACTTGGGAGGCACTGCACCCCACTGAGGTCCCCGTCCCCCTCAGGCTCCATCTCCACCTCCCCGGGCGTTTCTCATTCTGTACCTGGCAACCAGTGTTCCCTCTAAGAGAAGAAGAAGAAGAGAGAAGAGATTGGATTTATACCCCGCCCTTCACTACCCAAAGGTGTCTCAGAGCGGCTTACAAACTCCTTTCCCTTCCCCTCCCCACACAACAGACACCCTGTGAGGTGGGTGGGGCTGACAGAACTCTGACACAAACTGCTCTTTTTCAAGGACAGCTGTTCCAGAGCTAGTGACTGACCCAAGGTCAGCTAGTGTGAGCTAGCTCACAGTGTTTTAGCCTCCAGCTGACACATTTTTGCCTTCGCTCAGGAAGGAGGGCTCCAGAGCAAACTAAGTTATGCAGTAGCCAAATTGCTCGCTCACAGCTTTAATGCCAATAGCTCACAAGGTAGAAGTTTTGCCCACAAGCCTCCACAGCTTCGAGGGAGCATTGCTGGCAACCCTAAATACACACACCCCCGGTGGCTAGGGGGGACCTGGCAACCCTTGGTGCGGGCCGTGATTGGTGCCAGGGCTCTTTTCTCACCTGTCCGAGGGTCGCTCACCAAGTTCAGTATATCTCCCGGGCCTCCGTCCAGGGTAAAGCACAAGTTCCCGAGTGAGCGCGGTAACCGTACGACGAAGTGAGGGTCTCCGTCCACTGCAACCCAATAGCAAAAGAAAAACCAGGCGTTCAGGCTGAGCAGATCTCCACGGTCCCGAGGAACCCTCCGTGGCTTGAAACGGGAGGGACTTACCCCAAGAAGAGAAGGTGAAGAAGCCACCCTTAGAGGCGCCGGTCAGTTGGCCTGGAGTACGGGAGAGGCCGTGTTAGTTATACCAGGTATGACTTAACCCTCCTAGTCTTTTTGACCACTGGGTACCACCCACTCTCAGCAAAAAGACCCCTCTGCTCTGATCATCCAGAGTAGAATTCTGCTTGACAGGTCTCCTCAGAGAGATTGGGACAGTCCCAAGCTACAGTGGGAGGCTTGGTTGCCAGACTCCAGGTGGGGCCTGGAGATCTCCCACTACTCCCATTGCTCTCCAGACAAAAGAGGTCCACCCCCCTGGCAAAAATGGCTGCTTGGGAGGGTGGGTTCTATGGCATTGCACCCTGCTGGGGCCCCTCCCCTCCTCCAACCCCCCCTCCTGAGGCTCCGACCCCAAAAATCTCTTGGTATTTTCCCACCCAGAGTTGGCTTCCTGCTATAGCCCAGACAATATAGAACAATAAGTCCAGGAGAAAATTCGACACGAGGCGTTTAGGACGGTGCGCTTTCAAGTGCCTGTCCCTTTCAGTGTGGCTAACCTTTGATTTAAAGCGGGGGTCCCTCAACCATTTTGAGCCTGCAAAAAAAAATGGCTGCCCCATGACGCGGAGCCAGCCACAAAATGGCTGCCACAGCTCACCTTCAGTCACACACAGTGAAGATCCTTGTGTTGTGGTGGCAGCTGCTGCCAAAGCCAACATTGTTTCTCCCCACCCCCAATCTGCACTGCCAATCAAATCTCCAGCGGCTAATCAAAAGCCTTGCTGGGCAAAAGCTCCGCCTGGCCCCGCCCACTTCCTGGTTTGAAACGTACCAGCTCCTCTCTTCCCGGGTGAGGCAGTACAGAGGCTGGACTGAGATGATGAGAAGAGGAGGAGGAGACTGGATTTATACCCCGCTCTTCACTACTGGAAGGAGTCTCAGAGCGGCTTACAATCTCCTTTCCCTTCCACTCTCCTCCCTGTGAGGTAGGTGGGGCTGAGAGAGCTCTTTCGAGAACTGCTCAGAGAGAGAGAACTTGTGACTGACCCAAGGTCAGCCTACAGGCTTCATGTGAAGAAGAAGAGTTGGTTTTTATATTCTGCTTTTCTCTAGCCAAAGGAATGAAGGAGCGGCTTACAATCACCTTCCCTCCCCCTCCCCACAACAGACACCCTGTGAGGTAGGCGGGGCTGAGAGAGCTCTTTCGAGAACTGCTCAGAGAGAGAGAACTTGTGACCGGTCCAAGGTTACCCCAGCAGCTGCATGTGGAGGAGTTGGGAATGAAACCCAGTTCTCCCAGATTAGAGTCTGCGCTCTTAAACACTACACCAAACTGGCTCTAGAAGGCTGTAATGGAACCAGTGTGGAGCCCTCCTGGTTATGAGCAGAACCTGTCCGGTCCCTGGGCAAAACCTGGCCAAAGTTCGAGCATGCTGGCTGCTCAGGCCCGAGAGGACGTGGTTTTCCTGTTCTGACCAGTAAAAGACTGGCTGGTTGTCCACTCGACTCTCTTGGGAGCCCTGTCATGCAAGGACGTACCTGAATCACTCTCCCGTTCTTCTAAGAAATCTGCAAAAGGAATGTCTGTTTTTAGTGGAGTTTGGAAGCCAAGCCTCCTTAGACCTCACTTTTCATTGTCAGCAGAGTAAGGGTGCCAACTCCAGATGGCAGCTAGAGATCTGCGATTACAGAGGATCTCCAGGTGGCAGAGATCAAGGAGTTGAGAGAGCTCTTTCGAGGACTGCTCGTGAGAGAACAGCTCTGAGAGAACTTGTGACTGACCCAAGGTCACACCAGCAGCTGCATGTGGGAGAATGGGGAATCAAACCCAGTTCTCCCAGATTAGAGTCCGCGCACTTAACCACCACACCAAACTGGCTCTTTGCTTTGGTGATCTCTTTCCTCCCCGATTCCTTAAGACAGAACGAAGTAGAAAAGGGTGACGTCCAGAAAGCCCTCAAAATGTTATCTGTCCAGCGCTTTTTTATCCCACCCTCCCTCCAAGGAGCTCAGGGGGCACGATGTGTGGTTTTTTCCTCCCCCTTTGCCAACAGCCCTTTGACGTAGGTTAGGCCGAGAGAGACTCGGTCGACCTCACAGCAGAGTGGTGATCGGAACACAGTTCTCTCAGATTTTAATCTGACTAAACACTGTACCACACTGATTCCAAAAAAATCACTATACCACATTGATTTCCCTAACCCCCCCCCAAAAAAAATCTGGCAATGCACATAAATTACCTGTATAGTCTTCGTAATCCATGCTGTCTAAGAAGGAGACAAGTAGAGATGAGAACTTAAATTATTTGGGTGTGGGAGGGCAAGAGAAGGGACATAGATTAGAACAGGGGTCCCCAACCTTTTTGAGCCTGTGGGCACCTTTGGGATTCTGACACAGTGTGGCTGGCATAGCCACAAAATGGCCACCAAAGGAGGTGGAGCCAGCCACAAAATGGCTGCCAAATGAGGCAGAGCCAGCCACAAAATGGCTGCCAAATGAGGCGGAGCCAGCCACAAAATGGCTGCCAAAAGGGCAGAGCCAGCCACAAAATGGCTGCCACAGTTTACCTTCAGTCATGTGGTGAAGCTCCTTGTGCTGTGGTCATACTTGCCACCAAAAGCAACATTTTTAAAAAATCGACGCAGCCAATCAAATCTCCATTGGCCAATCAGAAGCCCTGCTGGGCAAAAGCTCTACCTAGTGCCACCCACTTACTATAAACATTTGGTGGGCACCAGGAAAGGTGTCAGCGGGTACCATAGCGCCCATGAGCAGCACACTGGGGACCCCTGGATTAGAACATAGTATAACAGGGAAAAGAGCCCCAAACAGTTGTAAAACACTGGCAATATAGCAAGGTAGGAGGCAGGGAGGGAGGAAGGAATTCATCCTTGGGACTAAGGAGATAGGGATGTAGTAGAATGTGGAAAGAGTCGGTGCTAGAAGAGAGAGGGGGACTCGGTGGGTTCTTTGCTGCCACCACCCAGTAATGTCAAGTAGCTGTCCGGGCTGTTGGTTAGCTGAAGGCCCACCGACCCGAGTTCTCGATCTAGTGAGATCCCAGCCTGTCATGACAGCTGTACTCCCAGCTCACGGAGACTAGCAACGAGGAGATCAAAGTCAAAGCCCTGTAACAACCCCTCACTAAGTATGTGATCTGGGAGGCGGCGGAGCTCTTTGGGAAGGCCCCCCAACCCACAGAGCGGTCAGGCCAACCCTACTTCCTGGCCCCTACCTGGCTGTTGCTCTGCTGTCACAAAACTATACACTGCAGGTGGATTCAGCGACTCCACGTACTCAACGTCCAGGTCAGTGGTCACGAGCAGCTCAGACTCTCCGGGTAAGAGGAAAAGGCTGATGTTTGAGGCAGGCGTCGGGCTGGGGATCCTGCTGGTTAACTCTGTTCCCTGGGGGGGCAGGGGTGTAGCTCCAGGTACGGTGCCCCATGGAGCAGAACTATTCTGCAGAGGCCTCTCAGTCCCCACTGTCCCACCCCTGTTCCATGGGATGCTCCCTGTCTCTGTCCTGGTGGCACCCCCCTGCCAGTGTGTGCGTGGCTGAGGCTTGGTGGCCAGCTGCGGGGTGGTCTCGTGCTGCCCTCCGCTGCCAGAATTATTCTCAAGAGCCTTTGCGTTTCCGAGCGGGGACACGGTAGTAGGCACGCCGAGGGCTGTGCCGGCGACCCCTCCCAGGACTTTGGCCATGGCCGTTCCTCTCGTCTCCTGAACCGAGTGAGGTTGGACTGTTGTCCTGAGCCTACCGACTCTGGTCGGACTGGGTTTGAGGTTTTTGGGAGGTGCTCTGGTGGCCCTGACGGAGGCGGTGGCTCTGGGGGGCTTGGTGGAGCCACGGGTTATAGCTGGAGCCAGAGACGTGGCAGCAGCTCCTGGAACTGGGGGGAATTTAGCTGCTTTGGTGTGGGTAGCAGTCGGTAGCGGGGAGGCGTGGCTGCCGGGGGTGACGGTGGTTACGGCAGCAACTGGGAAAGATGTAGGCCTGGCTGCTTTGGTGATTCCAGTTGCTGTCACTGGAACCAGGGCGGTGGGAACAGCTCCGGGCCTTGCGGTGCTCTTGGGGGCTTTTGTGACGGCCACAGGGATATGGGTCACGCCAACAGTGGTTTTAGACACTTTGGAGAGCCACAGCGGCGTAGAGGTTCCCGACACTTGTGTGGCTTTAAGAGCTCTGGTCACTCCGGGAAGGGCGGTCGCTTTGGCCGGTTGCCCCTTCTCTCTCTTCTCCTCCGGCCTCACCACGATCAGGGAGGTGACAGGCGTGACGAAGTTGTACTTGAGAGACAGGTTGGTGGCCTTCTCGGTCAGCAGGCGCCGGGCCGCCGTGTCGTTGGCCCGGAACCGGGCCTGAAGAAGGTCCTGGATGGTGAAGTAGGCCCAGAGTCTCTGCACGAAGCGGCTGATCTGACCAGCATCCCCGAGGCAGCCGAAGGGGGCGGCTTCCGTGGCGTTGGCCGCAATGTCATTTTCCAAGTCCAGCGGTCCCTCTTGGCCCTGCCCCGTAGTGCGTACCCGCAGTTCCGACGCCCCCGGCTTCACCCGCCCGGCCACGACCAGCTCAGAGCCCTGGAAATAGTTGGGGAAGAGGTTCCTGGTGAGGTCTTGCGCTACCCCGTCCAGGTAGGCCAGCTCCACGTCGTAGAGCAGAGGGCTGGCGATCTCATCGTAGAAGCCCTTCAGCTGCAGAGTAGCGTCAGAGTCCTCATAGATCCGCCGGGCCACACCTCTGTTCTCCAGCGACAGGCGCCTCAGCAGTCCGTAGTCCGCGTCATCCCCGAAGGCCAGGCCGAAGAGAGAGACGGTGCCCCTCAGAGCCTGCTGGGCGTGGGCGAGGATGCGGCTGCCGGCCGTCACGCCGGAGGTGGGCTCACCATCTGTCAGGAAGATGATCAGCGGGATTCTCTGTTCCGTAATCCCCTTCCCTGCCATGGAGGAGCTCCGGTTGAAGACGGAGGCGGCTGCGAGCAGAGCCGCGTTGATATCCGTCCCTGGGGAACAGAAAGCCGGGGGGATGTCAGAAGGCAGGACTGCCAGCTTATTTTGTCTTATTTTTAATCATCTTTATTTTATTTTATTATTTATTTATTATTTATCTCCCGCCTTGCCAGACACGCTGGCTCAAGGCAGCTAACAGGGTTAAAATAACGTAAACAATACAGAGATAAAATAGTTAAGAATACAAGACCGGTTAAAACAGCAACAGTTACAGATAAAAACAATAGATTATGGTGATAATCCAAATCACACCCAACGATAGGAGTAGCATCCAGCAAGGTCTCAGGCCAGAAGACGCTCTAAGTTTCAAGCCAGAAGATGTTCCAGGGCACATTCATCAGTGGCAGCTCCTAATCAAAAGCCTGGCGGAAGAGCTCCGTCTTACAGGCCCTGTGGAACTGTAAAACCGCAGGGCCCTGATGTCCTCCGGGAGCTCATTCCACCAGTATGGGGCCGCCACTGAGAAAGCCCTGGCTCTGGTGATATTCAACCAGGCGTCTTTCTTTTTGAGATTTTTATTCCGCCCTCCCCAAAGCTGGCTCAGGGCGGATCACAAGAAACCAAGTCCAAGACTTGTTACGATAAAATCACATTAAAATCATTAAAAACAATCAAATTCATACTGGCAGTGGCAGTTTCATATAAATCTGTTAGGATTTATAAATCTTAAATCATATAAATCTGTTAGGACCAGTGTTCCCTCTAAGCTGAGTTAATGTGAGCTGGCTCACAGTTTTTTAGCCTCTGGCTCACACATTTTTGTTTCAGCTCAGGAAGGGATGGCTCCAGAGCAAACTAATTTATGCAGTACCCAAATCACTCACTGACAATTTTATTGCCGGTAGCTCACAAACTAGAATTTTTGCTCACAGGACTCCACAGCTTAGAGGGAGCATCGGTTTCCCTCTAAACCGAGTTCGTGTGAGCTAGCTCATGGTTTTTTAGCCTCCGGCTCACAGATTTCTGTCTTAAACTCAGGAAGGACGGCTCCAGAGCAAACTAACTTATGCAGTGCCCAAATCGCTCACTGACAATTTTATTGCCAGTAGCTCACAAAGTATAACTTTTGCTCACAAGACTCCATAGCTTAGAGGAAGCATCGGTTAGGACCACAAGATGGAATCAGATGGGCCCTTTCAACTAATTGGGAACTAGAGCAGGGAGGCCAACTAAGATAGACGCCCACTGCCTCACCCAAAGGCCAGGCGGAACAGCTCTGTTTCGCAGGCCCTGCGGTACAATAAAAGGTCCCGCAGGGGCTTGCTCTCTAGTGGGACCTGATTCCACCAGGCTGGGGCCAGGGTGGAAAAAGCCCTGGCCCTGGTCGAACCTAAGTGGATGTCTTTTAGGCCGGGGGTAACTAGTAAGTGTTGATCTCGTGAGCGCAAGGCTATTTGGGGCACATATGGGAAGGGGCGGTCCTTCAGACAGGGGTCATTTCCTGAAGGAGCGCACTGGAGCGGAGCTCCGGCAGTAAAGAGCCCAGCGGGCGGGCACATGCAACAAGCCCCACCCCCTGCTCCCAGCAGCCCTCAGACAGAGCAAGAAGCAGCCAGGTACGTTGCAGAGGCCCCCCCCATCCAAAACAGTCAGTGGCACCTTTAAGACCAAGTTTTATTCAGGTACAAGCTCTCCCTCCTCTGTGAGGACAGATCTGCACGTTCTCCCCCCCCCCAATAGCTAGCAATCCAAAACAGTCCAGTGGAGCCTGAACGGTGGGTGTTGCCTTCTGACACACTTCCGGTGATGTCAGGGGGTGTGGCATATGCAAATAAGCTATGCTAATGAGCTCCTGCACCTCTTTTTCTGCAAAATGACACCTGCCTTCAGATATGTCCTTGGGAAAGAATGATGTCTAATGGAACAGATCGACCCAGACAGCTATGGGTCAGATTCCTCTAAGAGGAGCCCTTGAGTTGTAGAAGCTGAGGATTAGTAGCTTCCATCTACTTAGGAAGAACGGGGACTCAAGAGCAAAACTGGGGAGACTCCTTCAGAAGACTCTGGATCTCTTCACCCACCACCGCCACCCACCACTTGTCCCAGCGAATACGTACATCCGTCCGCTTCCATCTTGCTGACGTGGTCCTTGGCCTTCCGGATGTTCTGAGGGGTCGCCGGGAGGGACTGGCCGGGCTTCCAGACCTTCACTGTGTCAGAGAAAGTGATGATGTTGAAGTAGTCATCTTGGTGTAGATCGCTCAGTATCACTTGCATGGCCTTCTTGGTCTGGGGACAGTCAGCAAGAGACGGGGGAAAGACCTGGTTTACTCAGTGTCGCTAAAGGAATGATGTTAGAAGGGTTCATGACTGTGGTATCCTGCAGGATCGCCAGGGCACGGGGGAGCAGATATTACGGCACTCCTTCCTAGAGGGTGTTCAGAAAAGTTTGCTAAAGGCAGGCTGTAAATATTGTTTTTCTCCAATCCTTCGAGACACTGGTCATCTTCCTCTGATCCCAGGCCAGGCCTGTAGCTACAGTGGGGCTTGGGGGGGGGGGCTCTGCCCCCCTTTCATAAAGGCACCGCCCCACAAGAATTTGTCCTGTAAATGCTTTTTCAGTCATTTAAAAACGTTTTTTGAAAGGTATGCACTCCTTTAAGCAGAGTGGAGTGTTGTGGTTGACTAATTCCCGCACTGAGCAAAGAGGTTGGAGTAGGTGACCTCTAGGGTCCCTTCTAACCCTGTGTCCAGAAACGTGTCTTCCTTAAGAGAGTTTTTCTGCCTAAGTGTTTGCTTTCTTGGCTCTAGAAGTCATCACCCCCACCTGCCGGCTTGTTTGCAGAATGATTGCTTAGGCTGGCAGAAGTGATTAATTTGCAGCAGCTGAGAACTGTCATCTAAAGTGGTTGACAGCTGGCAGTTCAGAGATCTATCCTGGTCACAGCTTTCTGCTGGCTAAATGGCTTTTCTTTCTGCACTGAGAACTTCAGCCCCACCAGAAAAAAAAATTGCCCCACATGCCACAAAATCCTGGCTATGGGTCTGATGGCTCCAATCTCTGGATTTAAGTATCCACACATTTGTCCTTGTTGAGAACTAGGTACACCCACGACTAGCAGAGTAGGTCATGTGACACCACTTTTAGCATCTTGGCCAGTTGTCAGCAATAAGCAGATTCTACTGTGTCCTGCGGTATGTGGTCTTTGCCTTCGTCATCGTCATCATTCTTAATTTATATCCCACCCTATCCCACGAGTGGGCTCAGGGCAGCTTACAACACAAGACTCATAAAACAATAAAGCGGTAAAACCAATAAAACAACAGATGGCACAATAAGCAGTAACAGACAGGACCCTTGCCTGGTGTCAGGTGAATAAAAAGCTCCAGTGCCCAAGCAGCAGGGCCCTGGGAAGAGGCCATGAACAGGGGAAAACGGAATGGTTGGACGTCCGCCACCTCAACCAAAAGCCCGTAATCAAAATGTGTTAAACTCCAAAAATGGGCTGCATCTCAGACTCTCAAAACATATAAAAGTCCCACCAGTAAGAGTCCACAAATATAACTCCATTGAAAACAATGCAACACCATATTCGAATACAACATCAGTACCAATGGACTCACAAAAATTACAAGAGTCCAGTTGCCAACTGACCAAACAGGATGTAGTTAAGCAACCAAACTAACCAATAGCTGAGACATCCTATAAACCTGGGAACAATCATGGGTCATTTCCTGCGGGGAGCACACAGGAGCGGATCTCCGGCAGTAAAGAGCCCAGGGGGCGGGCACGTGCAACAAGCCCCACCCCCTGCTCCCAGCAGCCCTCAGTGAGAGCAAGAAGCAGCCAGGTAAGTTGCAGAGGGCCCCCCCCCCCCCCCCAGCCCAAAACAGTCCAGTGGCACCTTTAAGACCAGGTTTTATTCAGGTACAAGCTCTCTCTCCTCTGCGAGGACAGATCTGCACGAGGACAGATCTAGCCATCCAAAACAGTCCAGTGGAGCCTGAGCGGTGGGTGTTGCCTTCTGACACACTTCTGGTGATGTCAGGGGGCGTGGCATATGAGTTATGCTAATTAGTTATGCTAATAAGCTCCTGCACCTCTTTTTCTATGAAATGACCCCTGGGAACAATAACATTCAAAACTTGCAATTACAATAACAATGCAGAGTAATTACACTCAGAGATAACAGTAACAGTGAGGAGTAATTACATTCAGAGATAAGAGTAACAGTGATACAAGGTCCCGGTATACTTCCCTTGTTTCCATAGGGGTTCTTCTTCAGTCGCTATTACAGTGAGAATTAATCTAAGTTGAATGAAACAGTGAGACAAACTTTTCAAGCCTCCCACAGGAGTGACTTTGGTGATCATCTCCCCGTCTCCCGTCCGGGATAATAAGCCTGCACGTTCACCAACGAGGGACATATACTCCACAGTAAATTCGGCACAGCCTGCTGACAATTCGAAGGGGGGGATGTTCTCAGTTAAGCAATCAGACCAAAAGCCTGGCGGAACAGCTCCACTTGACAGGCTCTGTGGAACTGTGATAGGTCCCCGCAGGGCCCTGATCTCCGGTGGGAGCCCGAGGGCCGAAAAAGCCCTTGGCCTGGTTGAGGCGAAGTGGGCCTGGGATCACCAGGAGGTGCTGGTCTGGACCATACTGCTAGGCCTTCCCAACACTTTCATTTCTCCGCTATCTGGCTTCCTGTACTTGAATGTTTGTCTTCTCAACATGAAACCCCTGAAATAATTGTTGCTCTTGGAGTATGATAAATCTAAAGAATTGATTGTTGTATTCTCAGATGTTCTTTTTTGTTTGTTAAGATTTGATCATGATAGGCCCCAGTCACACGGGCCGGTTATCACGGGGGGGGGGGGGGAGGCGTGGCTAATTGCCCCGGCCCAGTTTGATCCGCGATTACGCGATCAGACGCGCCGGCGGCATACCACGAGTCCTTCCCTCGGCGCCGAAGGACCGGAGGGGAATGCCACACGCTGGCGCGATCACACCACCGGCGTCGGGAGGCAGCCCGTGGCAAAGGTTTACTAGTACCTTGGAGGTACTAGTTTTTTAACGCGCATTGTCGTCGGTAAGCCACGGGTGCGCTCCACTTCCCAGATGTTGGGGTGTGATCGCGCCCAGATAATCCGCCCACCATCCGTGCCTCTCCCGCGGCAACTTTGCCGTGTGACCGGGGCCATAGTTCGTTTGTTCAGTGGGCTGTTATTGCCTTACGTCTTTGTTCTGGTTTGCAGACTGTTCTCTCTTTGCTAAATATTACAGTGATGTATTTGTATTGTTGTTTGCCAGATTTCAATAAACTGTTACATTTTTTTTTTTAAAGGAAGCTGTTGGCTCCACACACTTTCTAAAACCAGCTGGCGGGCACCAGGAAAAAGGTCAGCGGGCGCCACGGTGCCCCTGGCCACCGTGTTGGGGACCCCTGCACTGAGACACAGGAGGAGGTTTGGGAAAGACCGAGCTTTGTGCCTTCCCATCCGGTCTATACTACAGCACCCAATTCTGGTTACAAAGGATCCCACCTCTCCCCAGCTGGAAAATATGGACCACACACCCTCCCTGTGTCCGTTCAGCAGCGCTCACCTGTTTCATTTTCGTACCATACATAGAGCCACTGACGTCGATCACAAACACCACGTCCTTCTGAACGGGGGGCAACCCCCTTGGGGCAAAGTAGTGCACAAAGTAGCCATCGTAGATCTGAGAGAGGAGAGAGAAATCACTGTCTGCCTTGACTGTGGAGTCCCCTGTCTCCAATGGTCCTTTTGCCTTCCCGCTCTAAAATGGACACAGGGAGACCCTGTTTGCCCTGTTGAGAGGGCTGCCAGCTCCGGGTTGGGAAATACCTGGAGATTTGGGGGGTGGAGCCTGAGGAAGGCGGAGTTTGGGGAGGGGAGGGACTTCAGAGGGGAGTGATGTCACAGAGTCCACCTTCCAAAGCGGCCACTTTCTCCAGGGGAACTGATCTTGGTCATCGGGAGGTCAGTTGTAGTCTCGGGAGATCTCCAGCCACCACCTGGAGGTTGGCAACCCAACTCACAGCACCATCCTGCCCCACCCTTTCGAAGGCAGTCTGCATGCCCCAGATAGTCCTTCTCTTCTGAGTTAGAACATAAGAGAAGCCATATTGGACCAGGCCAATGGCCCATCCAGTCCAACACTCTTGTGTCACACAGTGGCCAAAACCCAGGGGCCATCAGGAGGTCCACCAGCAGCTTTAAGAACATAAGAGAAGCCATGTTGGATCAGGCCAATGGCCCATCCAGTCCAACACTCTTGTGTCACACAGTGGCCAAAACCCAGGGGCCATCAGGAGGTCCACCAGCAGCTTTAAGAACATAAGAGAAGCCATGTTGGATCAGGCCAATGGCCCATCCGGTCCAACAACTCTGTGTCACACAGTGGCCAAAACACAGGTTCTGGCTGCATAGACTCCACCTTTACCTGCACGTCCCCGGCAACATCTGGCATGGCTACATCATACTGGACTACAAAATCGGCCACGATTCCTGAGCTGGAGTAGGCAGCCTGCTCCTGGGGCGTTGGGGCAAAGATGATCCAAGCACAGTGAGTGCCTTTCTCCACTCGGGTGGACGGTGGCACCTCAGAGTCCCCTGCGGAGCAAAGGTAAAATTGATCAGTAGGATCGAGACTGCAAAGTTCCTGTGATAAGCTGCAAAGGGCCATCACAGATCTAATACCACAGGAAGAACCTTATTAACGTTTCAGCCACAAGCCTTGAGACAGGGGCCCGTTCACTCATTTAGCTGCAAGTACATAACATAAGAACATAAGAGCAGCCAATGTTGGATCAGGCCAATGCCCCATCCAGTCCAACACTCTGTGTCACACAGTGGCCAAGAATACCAGGTGCCCTCAGGAGGTCCATCGGGGGGCCAGGACACTAGAAGCCAGGGGTCGTTTCATAGAAAAAGAGCTAGGGGAACTCATTAGCATAACTCATTAGCATATGCCACACACCCTGACATCACCGGAAGTGTGTAGGCCGGCGGGAGTGCGAGGAAGCCCCGCGAAGGCCCTCCCTGGCCCCAGGCAGGCAGGGGTGGGGAGAGGCAGGGAGGAAGCAACTTACCCTCCCTCTCCTCCTGCCTCCTCCTGGCTGAATGAGGGCTGGAAGCAGGGGGCGGCCGGAAGCAGGGGGCGGGGCTTCATCATGTGCCCCGCCCCCCGTACCTCACCCGGGGGAACTGCGATCCCCCGCAATCCCCCCCGAAATGACCTCTGGGTAGAACGCAGGCCCACGCGTGATGGTCACACAAAGCCGAAACTAAAGCTGGTGCTCAAAGGAGCGGGGTTCCGGAGAACCGCTTTGTGACACTCATTCCCAGCTCAACTGATCCGGCCGTCCCATCCCAGGAACTGGAAGATTTCTATAAACAGACAGACGAGGAGTCTGTACCTCGGAGGGTGTTGGTCAGCAGCCGGCTCGTGCGGAGGGGCAGGACGTGCACGTAGTCGATGCCGGTGCGCTCGGAGATGCTCACTTCCACGCTGAGGTTCCCGACCACTTGTTGGGGCCGGATGCTGATGGCGTGCTGATACCTGCCCAGGTGCCGCTGCAGCAGTTCCTCGTAAGTCAGCGCAAAGGCGGCCTTGCCTCCCGCTTCCACGTTGGCGAAGACCCTGAATTTCTCTGTTTCTCGGTCCCTGGAAAAATGTCGCAATAGCAGTTGCGTGTGAGGGTGGCTCTCTCTGAAGGAGGTCAGACGTGACGTGGGAAGTTCCGGGAAAGGGCTCTTACTTGGTGCCGATGTGGGCAGCCGTCTTCCCCTGTTGGCGGGCTTCGTTGTACATCTTCTTTGCCTGGTGCTTCTCCTTCACCTCGGCCACATAGGTCTTCTCATTAACAGTTCTGGGACACAGGGAAGAGAAACATCATGTTGAACACCTAGAGCACTTTAGTCAATAACTTGTTAAAATTGTTTTTGTACTGTTGGGATTTTAAATGGTTTTATATATGTTTTATATATGTTTTATAATGGCATTTGCCTCCATGTAAGCCGCCCTGAGGCATCGCTGGGAGGGCGGGGTATAAATGGAATAAAATAAAATAAATAAATAAATAGAAGAAGAAGAAGAGATTGGATTTATACCCCGCCCTTCACTTGGAGTCTCAGAGCGGCTTACAAACTCCTCTCCCTTCCCCTCCCCACAACAGACACCCTGTGAGGTGGGTGGGGCTGAGAGCTCTGACAGAAACTGCTCTTTTTCAAGGACAGCTGTGCCAGAGCTTGTGACTGACCCAAGGTCACATCAGCAGGTGCAAGTGGAGGAGTGGGGAATCAAACCCCGTTCTCCCAGATTAGAGTCCGCACACTTAACCGCTACACCAAACTGGCACTCAGAGAGTGGTCTGGTCACACCAAAGTTTCCTGGAATCTCTGCTATGGCTGTGTGAGTATAGATAAGGATCACCAGCAAACTATTCACAGAGAGACAGTCTGGTGGAGGAGAGCCAGTTTGGTGTAGTGGTTAAATGTGCGGACTCTAATCTGGGAGAACTGGGTTTCATTCCGCACTCCTCCACTTGCAGCTGCTGGTTGACCTTGGGCAAGCCATAATTCTGACTGACAAGAGCTATTATGAACTGAGATCGAGGCAGCTCTTTAAACAAGTGATTCATGTCTATTCAGCTCATAACAACACAAGACAAAATGCATGTAACCAGGCTGGCTTATATACGATTTGAACCGGGGTAAACCACACCCAACAAACAGATAACAACCAATAGAAATACAGGGCTTGGAACCTATGAAAGTTGTTCCCGCCGAAAACATATGCTTCTCTGATTGGCCAGTTCTTTAATTCAAACACTGCTTTGTTTTACTAGAGTTTATGCTTAAGCTAAACATCGCTTTATTAACTTAAGACATAACAAGAGCTGTCCTTGAAAAGAGCACTTTCTGTCAGAGCTCTCTCAGCCCCACCTGCCTCACAGGGTGTCTGTTGTGGGGAGGGGAAGGGAAAAGAGTTTGTAAGCCTCTCTGAGACTCCGACTGAAGGGTGGGGTATAAATCCAATAGGGTTGCCAAGTCCTACCTGTTGCTGCAGCGGGGGACTCCCGGCTCGGTCCTGGAGTGCGCGTGTGTGTGCAAAGCGCGCACACGCTGCAACCACGTCACCCAGAAGCCGGGTGACATGCACGTCACGAACTTTGGGGGTGGGGTTCCCACCGGGGCCCGATCCGCCGGCAGCGGGGAACGGGCCTCAGGGGCGGAGGTTTCCCCGCCCCCGGGGGGACTTTGCAAGCCTAAAATCCAATTTCCTCCTCCTCCTCCTCCTCCTCCTCCTCCTCTTCTTCTTGCTGATTGTAAACGGCATGTATCAACAAGTTAAAGTAGCAGTCCCCAACCTTTTTGAGCCTGTGGGCCTCTTTCAAATTTTGACCTAGTGTGGTGAGTGTAGCCACAAAATGGCGGCTGCAGGAACCATAAAAACAGCCACAAAATGGCTGCCACGGCTTACCTTCAATCACACAGTGAAGATCCTTGTGCTGCTGTGGCAGCTGCTGCCAAAGCAACATTTTTTAAAAAATCTGCAGAGCCAATCAGAAGCCTTGTTGGTAAAAAGCCCCACCCACTTTCTAAAAACACTTGTTGAGCCACCAGGAAGGGTGTCAGCAGGCACCATGATGCCCACTGGCATTTCGTTGGGGTTGAAGGAATAGCAACTGTCAATACGGAGAATAGATCTATCAGTATTATCTATGGTGACTAAAGGGAACCTCCACATTCAGAGGCACTAAGCCGCTGATCCCCAGAGCCAGGAGGCAACTTCAGGACAAGGCCTCGGCTTCTCTGCCCTGTTGTTGGGTCTCCAGAGGGACTGGTTGGCCACTGTGTGGGACAGGATGCTGGATTAGATGGTTCACTGGTCTGATCCAGCAAAGGTCTTCTGATGTTCTTATGATGGCCTTGGCCTCTCTGCCCTGTTGTCAGCCATCCAGACTCACTGGTTGGCCACTGTGTGAGACAGGAGGCTGGACTAGATGGATCACTGGTCTGACCCAGCAGGGCTCTTCTGATGTTTTTATGAGGGGAAGGCCTCGGCCTCTCTGCCCTGTTGCTGGCCCTCCAGGGGAACTGGCTGGCCCCTGTGCGAGACAGGGTGCTGGACTAGATGGACCCTCGCTGGTCTGACCCAGCATGGCTCTTCTGATGTTCTTCTCAGGGGAAGGCCTCGGCCTCTCTGCCCTGTTGATACGCTTGAGAATTAAAACTCCCTTTGTCAGGTATCTGACTCAAGTCGTGTTTTTCTACTGCCCATCTACATGACTACCCACCTGAAACAATCTTCTTGTGAGGTAGAACAAAGTGTGAGTCCAGGGACACCTTTAAGACCAACTAAGTTTAATTCTGGGTACGAGGAGTCACCCTTCACTTGGAATCTCAGAGCGGCTTACAAACGCCTTTCCCTTCCCCTCCCCACAACAGACACCCTGCGAGGTAGGTGGGGCTGAGAGAGCTCTGAGAGAACTGTCCTTGAGAGAACAGCCCTTACAGAACTATGGCTTTCCCAAGGTAATCCAGCAGCTGCAAGTGGAGGAGTGGGGAATCATGACTACCCACCTGAAACAATCTTCTTGAGGTAGAGGTGAGGTAGAACAAAGTGTGAGTCCAGGGACACCTTTAAGACCAACTACGTTTAATTCTGGGTATGAGGAGTTGCCCTTCACTTGGAGTCTCAGAGTGGCTTACAGACTCCTTTCCCTCCCCCTCCCCACAACAGACACCCTGTGAGGTAGGTGGGGCTGAGAGGACTCTGAGAGGACTGTCCTTGAGAGAACAGCCCTTACAGAACTATGGCTTGCCCAAGGTCATCCAGCAGCTGCAAGTGGAGGAGTGGGGAATCAAACCCGGTTCTCCCAGATTAGAGTCTGTGCACTTGACCACGACACCGAACTGGCTCTCATAATCAGATACACTGAAACAGACTTCGCCAGCCATTGCATATAGGTGATGGTGGGGTCTAGTTGCCACGAAGGGCTCGTTACAATCAAGATGCACAAGTAACGGGGCAATAAGGATAGCTAAGATTGGGTTAAGGCAGTGGGTCAGGCCTGTGAAAAGCGGTAAATTAGGATAGAAATAAAAGAGTTAGACAGACAGATGTGAGAACTCAGTTTGAGTCTTTTCAGGGAGGTTAAGGATAGCTAAGATTGGGTTAAGGCAGTTGTTCAGGCCTGTGAAAAGTGGTAAATTAGGATACAAATAAAAGACAGACAGATTTGAGAACTCAGTTTGAGTCTTTTCAGGGAGGTTCGGCTGAGGAAGGGTGACAGGCCCAAGGCCCCTCAGCGGGCTTCTGTGGCAGAGTGACAATTCGAACCTGGGTCTCCCAGATCCTAGGCCGTCATGCCAGCCCCCACACCACTGCCTAGAACTGCGAGCTTGTGGTCGAAGACTGAAATGATCCCGTTCTCCACGCAAGGTTCTGTGAGGAGGCAGCAGATGTGACCCTAGGCCTCTGAACTCCTAGCAACTCGCTCAGCTGAGTTTCTGAACTTCATTCCACCGACACATCTGTTCCCTGGGAGCTCTCCTAGGTCCTGCAAAGCCTGGGAAACTCCCCACAACCTGCTCTGCTGCTTAAAACCCCCTGTTGGACGAGAGGGACCCGTTCCGGGTTTTGCTGAGCAACTAGTGGGCTTTCGGCCTGGCTGCCGTAGGACAGGATCTATTCCAGCCGTCCGTGCTGAACCACGGTGGCTTCGGGACACTGTAATGGATGGGTCTTCTTGTGCAGTTTCCTAACTGCTGCTGCATTTTCCCTGGCCCAGTGCCCCCTCATTATGTCCCCCCCCGCCGTGGCACTGGATTTTTTTAGAGTGTTCTTTAAAAAACAACAATGGAATATTGTTTTTTTTAAATCTTTCAGGTGTACTGAGTCCCCAGCTGTCGCGAGCAGCGGCTAGAAAGGTTCTCTGATGGCTGCCCCGCTCTGGTAGGCGTCTCCTCGGGAAGGCCCAGAGCAGTGTTCCCTCTAAGCTGAGTTGGTGTGAGCTAGCTCACAGTTTTTTAGCCTCCGGCTCACACATTTTTGTCTTCGCTTAGAAAGGAGGGTTCCAGAGCAAACTAATTTAGGCAGCCGCCAAACCGCTCGCTCACAACTTTAATGCCAGCAGCTCACAAAGTAGGATTTTTGCTCACAGGACTCCACAGCTTAGAGGGACCATTGGGCCAGAGCACCCACCCCGACCCCTTTACACCCTCCTTTTCCGGCCGGTTTCCCTTATAAGTGACCAAATGAGGCGTGAGGACCCAGGCAGAGTAATCAACTATTTTTATTAAAGAGACTGAACAATAACTGTAATTCAATAACGTGTAGGGGGAATGAGCACGGTAAAGGTAGGCAAACCAGCAAAATAAGAAATCCTAATGCGTCTGACTGTACTGTCCCTAGCCTTCTCTAGGTATTTGCCTCAAACTGACTTCGCCTCCTTTGGATGAGGGATCCTTCCAATTGCAGCAGCTTCACACTAGCTCTGCCTCCTAGGAGTGAACAACACCCTCCCACTTCGGGCAAAGCCATTTATCCCTTCTTCCCAGGCGACACCCTCTACTATTCTACTGAAGTAAATTTTCACTCCCAGGGCCCAAAGGGTGACCTGGGAATTGTAGGCCCTGTTGTCACTCCAGTACAGACTTCCCTGGAGCCACTAGGCCTCCCTACTATAGGCCCAGGATCATGACAGGATCATGATCACGTCGGGTTAGAAACAGATAAAAGGAAGTTCTTCTTCACCCAAAGAGAGATTAACACGTGGAATTCACTGCCACAGGAGATGGTGGCGGCTACAAGCATGGACGGCTTCAGTTGGGAATTAGATAAACATATGGAGCTGAGATCCAT